AGGTACTGTATACTACTATATTGCGCCCCACTCCACCTGGGCCGCGCTGCAGCCCAAGCTGGCGCGGGACACCAGGCCGGCTGTACAGATCAGGTACTGTATACTACTATATTGCGCCCCACTCCACCTGGGCCGCGCTGCAGCCCAAGCTGGCGCGGGACACCAGGCCGGCTGTACAGATCAGGTACTGTATACTACTATATTGCGCCCCACTCCACCTGGGCCGCGCTGCAGCCCAAGCTGGCGCGGGACACCAGGCCGGCTGTACAGATCAGGTACTGTATACTACTATATTGCGCCCCACTCCACCTGGGCCGCGCTGCAGCCCAAGCTGGCGCGGGACACCAGGCCGGCTGTACAGATCAGGTACTGTATACTACTATATTGCGCCCCACTCCACCTGGGCCGCGCTGCAGCCCAAGCTGGCGCGGGACACCAGGCCGGCTGTACAGATCAGGTACTGTATACTACTATATTGCGCCCCACTCCACCTGGGCCGCGCTGCAGCCCAAGCTGGCGCGGGACACCAGGCCGGCTGTACAGATCAGGTACTGTATACTACTATATTGCGCCCCACTCCACCTGGGCCGCGCTGCAGCCCAAGCTGGCGCGGGACACCAGGCCGGCTGTACAGATCAGGTACTGTATACTACTATATTGCGCCCCACTCCACCTGGGCCGCGCTGCAGCCCAAGCTGGCGCGGGACACCAGGCCGGCTGTACAGATCAGGTACTGTATACTACTATATTGCGCCCCACTCCACCTGGGCCGCGCTGCAGCCCAAGCTGGCGCGGGACACCAGGCCGGCTGTACAGATCAGGTACTGTATACTACTATATTGCGCCCCACTCCACCTGGGCCGCGCTGCAGCCCAAGCTGGCGCGGGACACCAGGCCGGCTGTACAGATCAGGTACTGTATACTACTATATTGCGCCCCACTCCACCTGGGCCGCGCTGCAGCCCAAGCTGGCGCGGGACACCAGGCCGGCTGTACAGATCAGGTACTGTATACTACTATATTGCGCCGCCGCGCTGTTATTATGTAATAGCCAGTTGTAAGCGAGTTCTACACACATAACATCACGCCTTTTGTTTGCCTTTTAGCCAGAGATGCACATTACGACACTAAATGCCGCTGTATAATGTAACATCCACTATTTATGCTATGAGTCCCATGTAATAGGGGTGAGCCTATTGCCATATACCGGACACAATCCCAGACTCCGTGCTACTACAGAGATTTTTTTAAAGACTCTGTAATACATACTTAGTTCTATATACTTATCTAAACTAGCACCTCGTTTGTCTTTTTTCTATTTTCATCAGCTCATTCTGTTCATGAAACATAAATGAAAAAATATTTAAACAAAGACACTTCACACTGTACGTCCCACGGCCCACAGTATCTGCCAGTTGCTGGGCGAGGTCCCGTCCCTGCGGGCGGCGACGGGCGAGTGGGAGCGCCTGTCCCGCGAGGCGGCGCGGCGCCTGTGGCAGTGGGTGGCCGACTGCAACGTGCCCGACGTGGTGATCGCGGCCTGCGACGCGCTCGCCAACTATAAGCTCGAGGATTATAAACTTATTGATGTGCCTGAGGTGAGAGACGGTGATATTTTTTATCGAGAGACATACTAATTTCAATAAAGTGTACGAATTAAAGCTGGAGGAAAGCTCTACTAGTTTCGAGTCATATCGGGGCTCTTATTCATAAGTAAACACGTGTGCAACTTCAATAAAACCTGTTCGTTTTTGTAATATTACATTTTTAAGAGACTTCAAAAAGGAGGAGGATCTCAGTTAATCTGAATAAATGCATATTATGTTTTCTTACAAGTGAAATTAATAATAATAATAAAGTTTATTTATTCAGATAACTGAGATCCATCGAAATAATAGTAAAGAAAGAACACAATATATAACTATACTTAGATACAATATTAATATGCAATAGTAAACAGGGACTTAGTCCGCTGCACTAATTTACGCATCAATGGACAATCATGTCTCTCGACTATAGCAGTCAGGATACTGTGACGACTTCCACGCAGGCGACTGATGAGCGATGCAGTCTTTTTGTGCCATAAAGCAGCGAATCCATCGGTGTGAGCATCAGCAAACATTGCTGACGCACTACGGAAACGTGGAAGCCGCAACAGTGCCCTGAACGCGTTATTATACTGGATGCGCAGAGCATTGTACGCTCTCTGGGTGTAGTTAACCCACAGACTATTAATAATTATTCGTTGTCAATCTATAATTTTTTACCTAATTTTGATAGAATTTTCGTTAATATGACATCTATTAGTTATAGCAATATTAGAGAAGTAACTTTATTTCTTTATTACTTTAGATATACAGGAAGACAGTGAAATTACCAGCCTCGTACTGCAAGACTCCTGCAGACGCGGCCAGGAAACCTGAAGAAGTACTAGATTATATACCTTGTAAGTATTGTAAATTTCTTGTCCTCTTTTTAGCGTTACTAATAGGGTATTTACTACACATTTTGTCCAAAAACAGACGGAGACAGACTGATGATGATACGGCTAAACATAGTGGACCATCTTTATATGTAAGACCTTATTATGTAAACTTAAGTTTAAGAATTAAATGATTCTGATGATGATATCTATATTTATAAAATAAAAGATAGTCGTGTTAGTTACAATATCTATTACTCTATAACAGCTGAACAGATTTTGCTGAAAATTGGAGGAGAGATAGCTTAAAACCAGGAGACGGACATAGGAATTTTATCAAAGGATTTCCCGAAACTCCTAAGGAACCGGAAAAAACAGATTGCGCGTATGGAATCGCGGGTAAAAGCTAGTATTAACTAGCTGGCATAATTATATAAAATTTTAGGTTAAGATCCATATGTAGCTTACATTCTATGTATAAAATAAAACTAAAAATATTTATGTGCATTGCATCAAAAAATCATCCCCATCGATGTTAACAGAGGGAAAGGTACCACAGCTGCTAGCATTATAAGCTGGTAGTGTTTACAATTCTTAACTCTTGTCTGAAGAACAGACCAGACACATAAAAAACAGAACAGAGGATCATAAGATTTTTTCAATACATATATTTTTTTAAATGTTGCCCTACACTAGGTTTTTCTCTTGGGTGCGTTTCATCATTAACAGCCTATAAATGCCCACAGGCCCACTGCTCAGCAAAGCCTTTTCTCACACGGATAAGGTTTGAGTATTAATCACCACGCTTGCTCAATGCGGGTTGGTGATTACAAACTTATAATTAGAAATCATAAGACCAGGTTTCCACACGATGTTTTCCTTCACCGTTTGTCAGTGGTGTCTGAATAATATTAGAAAGTATATATAACTCGGAACAAGTCACATTGGTACTTGCCGTTGGTAGGTTTCGAACACGCACCCTCGTGCATGAGAAGCGGGCGTCTTAAACCTCCGGGTCATCACGACATTCTGTTACAAACATATAAGTTCACATACACATCACACCCAGACCCGGAACAACAATCTGTAGGTCACACAAGAGTTGTTCCGTGCGGGAATCGACCCCGCGACCCGTTGCGTGGCATCCGGTTGCCCGGCAACCGTGCAGTTTAAATATAATATTGAATTTGAAATCCATTAAAGGTGAAATCTGGCCAGAAGTATTTAAGTACACGAACCAAGCAGCGTTAGCGGGCGTTCAGAGGCTGGCGGGCCGCAACATAGAGCGCGAGCTGCGCGGGTACCGGAGCGGCCAGTACCAGCTCGACCCGCGCCAGGAGCCCGCCGCCCTGCTGCACCTGCCGCCCAGCAGCGTCGCCCGGGGACTCGTCCACTGCTTCCGGAAACAGGTTGGCTTCTACCAACATTATCTACGTCATGTCTCTGTGTTGTGCTCAACGTCAACGTCAAAGCATTTATTTCAATTAAACCATAATTTGATACTATTGAAACGCCAACAAATACAAAATAAATAAGGTCTGTCAGTCAATTCATGAGTGAAGCTAGGTGCTCATTCCAAAATGTAGATTCGAATGGAGAAGAACGAGCAAGAAACTCCATTCATTACTCTTTTTTTAAAAAAGTATGTTCTACAATGTCTCAACAGGTGGCGCTAATGTGAAAAACCCTATTTCCATCCAATAGGAAATTAGCTAGTGTCACTCGATTGGACGGTCATTATTTGACAGCTGCAATGATTGGACAAGAAACTTCTTGCTACATTTGCGCCATCTGTTGTCCAAAATGTGGTAGGGTGGAACGATAAACTTTTTTTGTGTCATGCCTAGTAAAAAGTTTCTCGCGATTTTGCTCTTATCTTGTTAATAACGTAGGTTGAATCTTAGAAGGCGATGTGATTAGTTAATAGTAATAATTTGTTACAAAATATCAATGAGATTTAGCCTTAGCAATTTGAACCTTGAAAAAAACGCCAGAAAAATGACAGCCTTCTGAGTCTTCTGAAATCCTTTTTATACCAAACACACAGTGGATCCATACACAACAGTTCCACACTGAAAACTTTATTAAAAATTCTAAGGTCTAATTTCTCATTCTCCAGGCTATATCTCCCTCATACGAGTTCCCAGACATAGTGCTACTGTCGATACTGCGTGCGCTGACCATGGAATACCCGAAGCCACTGCCACCCTTCGACGTCTGCTTCCTGCCAGAGGTAAATCAAATAATTTGTAATTTTGCAGGCCCTTGTAGTAACTTGTTAACTTTATTATGGAATAGAATGACAAACAAGCAGACGTATGACCTGATGGTAAGCAATTGTGGCTGCTTAAACATACCCACAACACTAGAGAAGTTACAAATGCGTTGCCGGCTTTTTGGAGATTAAGAATGAGAGGATTGCGGGGCTTAAGCAAAATCATTTACTAGTGGATATACATGTTATCACTCCAGTCGAGCCGACCCAGCAGTGCCGAAACGTATGAGGCTCTTCCTAACTTTTGGTGTGCCCGGTAGGGTCCATTTTTTTTTTTTTTTTTTTAAGAAGGAAAATCATCGAATTACGGCTCCCGCCTGGGTGAGGCGGAAGGAAGTGTCAGACTCTTACTGACTAAAAACCACCCCGTTCCTTCTCCTGCACGTCGAGCCGGAGCCCCGGTTACCCGTTAGGTTCTCCGCGACCGATAGGGTCCATAATTGTGTCCTAGCTTTAAGCCCACTACGATCTCCGGCCACTGTAAGTGCGGGCCTGCGGACGGCGAGCATGGGTGGCTCCCCGTCCGACCAGAACCAGACCGAGCGAAAGAGCCATCAGACCACCACGGATGGGGCCCAACAGGGCTGATGCCGATACGGAGCCGCGGAAGACTTAACGGGTTACCGGGGCTCCGGCTCGAAGTGCAGGAGTAGGAACGGGGTGGTTTTTAGTCAGTAAGAGTCTGACACTCCCTCCCACCTCACCCCTGATTAGTTTTATCTAAGTATTGTTTTATTATACGACAAAATAAAAAAAATACGTGTCTAATATTTTTTCATTACCTAACTGACGGACTAATTAGATTTTTAATTGTCATCATCCCAATTATAATAACTTTTCTTACATGCTTTTGTTTTCTCTACGTTCATACATCTTGTCATATACATTCTGGTTAGTCGACCAAAAATTATTCACTAGAAACTTGCTCAGTTAGCAGAACATAAGACACACTACGTCACTAATCCTCAAAAATGACATCACTAGCTATGAAATAAGACTAACCAATATTCAAACCGCTTCCCGCTCCCGCTATGCGCCAAAGTCCTATAACTTGAAGCATTCTTACCTGTTCTAATGGGATAAAGTTTTATGGGCGGAAAAACTCCTTCAATGGACCGTAGTACGATCATATGCAGGTTTAATGGAATGCCGTGAAATGCCACCGTGCTCAGCGCTGGAAACTTCGCTCAACTATTTGGATTAAAAATGATTAATTAATGCCTTTCAAGTGAATTTGGAAGTTTAAAGTTTCAAGAGTTTTTCAAAGGTATTTTGCTGAGGTATTTTAAAGGGGAGTTCTCTCAGATGGGGTATCTTTGTGAGTTTAAATTATGAGCTGCAGCGTTTGGTCTTCTTGTGCGACTACTAATAAAATGGAATAGAATGCAATACTTTCTAAAAGAAAGAAACATTTATAATTGTTTCGATACAACAATGTCACTGTATGCCTTTATATTACGGAGTCGCAGAGAACCTGACGGCTTACCGGGGCTCCGGCTCGAAGTGCAGGAGTAGGAACGGGGTGGTTTTTAGTCAGTAAGAGTCTGACACTCCCTCCCACCTCACCCAGGCGGGAGAAGTCATTGAATGATTTTCCCCTCTCAAAAGCCAACTATGTAACATCTTGTGAAACATTATGGTATGCGAATAAGGATGTGAATAATAACGTGTTAAAACTGTATTTGTATTGAAGGTATTCCACCGCGGCAGTGACTGGCGACGTGGCTGCGTTACATTGGCGGCGAGACAGGCGCAAGTGTCGCAATCTGCCCGGAGGATACTTGAGAATTATTTACAGGGCGTCACTGCTGGAACTGCTGAGGTACGTGTGTATTCGTACTTTGTATTATTTATTTTAATTAAATTATGCAGATTCAACTATACCTCAACTAGTTTCAAGCTCCTCTGGGGACCTATAAATTGAATAAACTATGTTTAAAAAAGTCGTCTTCAACCCCTTCGATTTTGAAGTCGGTTAATAAAAATTATTTGATTTTCTTTTTACTTTTACTTTTTATTTTGATATAAAAATGACTTAGACATTATTGTTGAAATTAAATTTTCTGATAACAAGGTTAAACAGTATAAAAATCAAACTACATTAACCTCTTGCCTCCGTAGGAAACAGACGTGCTCCTAATCTTCGAGATCCTACCCATCTTATGTCGAGGGATGCCACCGAACGCTCTCCGCCCTCCTCTAGAAAGATGTCTAGCCGACTCGTTTGCAGAAATATCTCATGTCAAAGCGAAATCTAAAGGAGAAGAGAAAGAATACTTGTTTATAAAGCAGATGGAGTGCATCCGCCAGTGCTTGGACTGTGACAAGATACACGATGCCAATAGAACCCTGCTGTCTCAAATCGTCGAGCATTACTTCTCGGAAATGAATGATGATAATGTTGTGAGTATTGTTTTATGGGATAAGCTAGTAAACGAGCGATGGATCACCTCATGGTGAGCAATTGACGTGGCCCATGGACACCAGAGGCCTTAGTACAAGTTTTTCTTACGTATAAATTAATCGTAACGAGTATGCGTTCGGCGCTCTAATTGGTTGGTTCATTTGCGCCGGCCAATCAGAGTGCCGAACGCGTACTCGTTTCGAATACTTTAACGTTAATGAAACTCATACATGCGTAACCGGCGTTTTAGGATTAGGAATTTGAGGATTGTTGGGGATTTGGGGATTGGCGAGATGGGGGGGGGGGGGTAATTGTGCCTCCGGTAACTTCACTCATACGACGAAATACAACGCAAGCGTTGTCATCGGTTTTCTGCTCGGCCGTGGTATCACTCCAGTCGAGCCGGCCCAGCAGTACCGAAGCATGGCTGTCCTACATTTGCAGTTATTCAAGTTTAGATTATTTGTTCAAGTTAAGTGTAGTGGAATGTTAGTAATTCAATAAACCGATGAAGTCATCAGGCACAATTGTTTTGACATCATACATCTGAAGTCATATAAAAAGCAGACAGATAAAAAATCCAAAGTTGGCCAACTATTTCTGAAATAAGTATAAAATATTAAATATCTTCCAGACCAGCTTATAAACCTAGAATTTTTAATAATTGATACTGGCCATTGTGCAAAACGGGAAACTCCATTTTGTGATCTATCTCTATGTAGTTATGTACTAATCCTTACTTAAAAAACATCCCCAGGCCTGGCCAACCTACATATCGACATGCTGCGCTCTATCCAGTAAGTACCTGGAGCGTATGTCGTCCCCCAGTGGGTGGTGGGAACTGTCCCCCAGCCTGCTACGTAAGGCGGCGTCACTAAGATCCGCCCTGGCCACTATGACGGACTGTGAGGCGCCCCTCAACTGGCTCAATGAGATCATTGATGCACAGGCTATGGAGATCACGTAAGTTGATCTTTGTTGCTCCTGATTATAACCTGGATGTGGATGTGTGGACCGGTGTAGTTATTATTTGTGTTTGTTGTTGTTAGAGCGACATTTTTATTTCAGTTCAGTTATTGCACAGTTGGTGCGGTGGCTGGGCAACCGGCTGCCGTGCAACGTGTCGCGGGTTCGATTCCCGCACGGAACAACACTTTGTGTGATCCACAAATTGTTGTTTCGGGTCTGGGTGTCATATTGTGTATGTGAACTTGTATGTTTGTAAACGCACCCACGACACAGGAGAAAATCCAAGTGTGGGGCAACGTTTTATTAAAAAAAAAAAAAAAAAAAAAAATTAAAAGCCACTAAGCAAGATACCCTAAATCTAAATACTGTGCCAGCTTTAACCAAATGTTGTTTTTGGTAAAATAACTAAAAGCGATTGCAGCGACATTCACTAAGGATAGCTACACCAAAGTAACAATTTAGCTCCTGGCTGAATGGTTGTGGTCATACTAAGTCAATGTTATCATTATCACTTGGTCAAATAAGTCTTTCCACAAAATTCATTGGAATGAACTCAACTCGAGCAACTTTCAGTAAACGTTTTTATTATCATTGTAAAGCAAGCAAAGATCGTACAGGTATCTTTATTTCGTCAGAAAGAATAACCTCAACAATGGTGTGCGTTACCCAGGCCAGATGTAGTCGAAAATTGTCATTTGAATCTTAATCTGTAATTGATGCGCACATTTTTAAGTTTGTTGCGCTTAGTTTTTTAATTATTTCACAAAAACATTTTCTACTGGGGTAACGTTACCCCATCCAGACCTTTTTCTTACTAATGGGAATATTTAAATAATTACTAACTATAAAGTTAGTTGTGTAGATGAAGTAAATGTTATGCCTTATTTTGTATTTGTTCTTTCATCGGTTGCGAAGTTATTCGAGATTCTGCTGGGGTAACGGTTTTGGTTTTGCTAGATCTTTGAAATGGTTAAGCGGATTCTTATCATATTTTGTACATGGCTTCTTAGGAATTAGTTTAAATTTGTTCTGCAATAAAACAACCAAAATAATACCAAAGGTTATTTCAATAAATAGAAAAACACTTCAATTGGTCCCAGCAATCTCAATAATCTCTAAAGACTTTTTTTTTTTTTTTTTATGGCATAACATAAGACTTACTTGAAACGTTATTTTAAAGCGTGTAAGTGCCATCAAATGTATGTAAAGTTTCATTAGTATCCTGTAAGTATTGAACAAGTTATGATAATATTGAGTTCTTTACGAGCACGGTCTTGATGCGCGCGGTGTTATTTGGCCACTTTTTTTTGTGTGGGGATAATCATCCAAGGACTTCTCCCGCCTGGGTGAGGCGAGAATGTCAGACTATTACTTAATAAAAACCACCCCGTTCCTACTCCTGCTCTTCGACCCAGAGCCCCGGCAACCCGTTAAGTTTTCCGCGGCTCACACAAGCACACACGGCACATACAAGCTTTAAAATAACGTCTTATTGAGAGTGCTGGAACCAATTGAAGTGTTTTTCTATTTAATGAAATAACCTTTGTGCTATGTATTATTTTGGTTGTTCTGGTACAGAACAAATTTAAACTAATTCCTAAGAAGCCATGTACAAAATATGATAAGAATCCGCTTAACCATTTTAAAGATGTAGCAAAACCATTAAACCATTAAACGTTACCCCAGCAGAATCTCGAATAACTTCGCAAGCGATGAATGAACAAATACAAAATAAGGCACAACAATTGGGTAGTTTCCTAAATTTTATTTTAATGTCCATCTGGTACATTATTTTAAAACATTAGACACGCATTTTTTCTTTTCCATCGTCCGTCTTTGACGTCACAGCGTGGTACAAAATGTACCACGTTATGACGTAACTACCTCCCACTCCTAAACTTAACGCCATTTTATTTAAGTGTTGTAACTTTATACGAGAAAATAAAAAAATACTTGTCTAATATTTTTTCATTATCTAACTGACGGACTAATTAGATTTTGAATTTTCTTACCCTGGAAACTACCCTATTACTTCATCTAGACAACTAATTGTATAGCTAGTAATTATTTAAATATTACCATTAGAAAGAAAAAGGTCTGACTGGGGTAACGTTACCCTAGCAGGAAATGTTTTTGTGAAATAATTAAAAAACTATAAGCGCAACAAATTTAAAAATATGCGCAACAATTACAGAAGCCGCACAACTAATTATTATCTATAAGATTCAAATGACCATTTTCGACAACATCTGGCCTGTATAACGCACACTAATAATGAACCTTTGATTAATTACATTGTTTGACGAGTTAAGTCGACTAGTTTCAAGCCGCACAAGCGCGGCTTAATGTAGTGAACAATCTCTTTCCTTATAAAGACAACGTCAATGAAAGCATTGACCTTTATGGGTATAATAAACCTTGGTATTACAGCGAGCAGGAGTTCTCCGTGGGCTGCCTGGTCCCCGCGCTGCAGGCGGCCGACCCTGACTCCGGCCACTGCGCGGACTGGATGCTGCAGCTCATGGGCCGCACGCAGGTCGCCTTCAATGAGTCAGTGCCCCCTCTTGTATATTACTTTTTTTCTTTTATTATTTTTGCAGTTTTGTGTAGAATTACATTTTTAGATCATGGTTTGACTAGCAAGGGCACCTCGCTGGCTAATCAGAACAAGATCCGTGCGTACATTCTCAAAGAACCATCAGATCACTACTGACGGGGCGCAATAGGGCTGATGCCTCAACCGGAGCTGCGGATAACTTAACGGGATGTCGGGGCTCCGACTCGAAGCAGGAGTAGAAACGGGTGGTTTTTACTCAGTGAGAGTCTGACACTCATCTTGACGAGAGGGAGTGTCTAGAGAAATTCGATAATATTCCTTTCTTAGAAAAAATACACAAACTTAGGTACCTACGCAGTCAAATTTGACGCTTTCAGCATTAAATCCTTGTGATGGTATAGACAAACATAGGTCATATCAAGAGTATTTTACGTTTTTATGTATTTCCAGGACGGAAGACAAGTCAGCGAAGCAGTACCTGTGCGACGTGTTCATGGTCTGCGTGATAGTATTCAGCGGCGTGTGGAGCGTGGCGGGCGACGCCGTGGCGGCGGGCCGCGCCACGGCGGGCCGGGTCACGGCGGGCCGGGCCACGGGCCGCGCCGCGCGCCAGGAGCTGCTGCCGCCCGCCGTCGCCAGCTTACTGGCCAGGCCCGCCTGGCAGCCCTGTGCGCTACAGGTCATAATCATAATTTGCTTTTCTTCAATTTTGTGCCTTTGCTAACTAGAATGTACAATAATATGGTTACGACAAATAGAACGATTGTTATTTAGAAGAGTTTAAGCTTTAAAGCATATTATGATAACAAGAACAATTAATTTGTTATCGATAGACCACACAAACGAACCATTCTAGCTACTAACAACAACTTTTCTTTTAGCAAAAGGTAATTCGCCAATCGCAACAATATCTACACGCCCGATTACTGGAAAGTATTCAATTTTAAGTTGTACTTAAATATCGTGCCATTTCTGTCATTTTACAAAGAATTTGTAGTGTAACAAGTTCTATAACTTGTAGGCAACTCTTATGTTAAAACCTCCTTTGTAGCGCGATAAGAAAAATGGTGGTAACGTGGTGACTTCGCGTTCGCGCTAAAATTCAAAATTCGAAGCCCCCCCACGCGTCGCTCGAGCGGGCCCCGCGCTCGGTCCAACAGTCGCCGCCGAAACGTTGAGTGAGTGAGCGTGTTCGAAGAGTGTGCGTTACCCAGGCCAGATGTTGTCGAAAACGGTCATTTTTATCTTATAGATAATTAATTGTGCGGCTTCTGTAATTGTTGCGCACATTTTTTAATTTGTTGCACTTATAGTTTTTTAATTATTTTACAAAAACATTTCCTGCTGGGGTAACGTTACCCCAGCCAGACCTTTTTCTCTTCTAATGGGAATATTTAAATAATTACTAGCTATAAAATTAGTTGTATAGATGAAATAAATGTTGTGCCTTGTTTTGTTCTTTCATCGGTTGCGAAGTTGTTCGAGATTTTGCTGGGGTAACGTTTTTGATTTTGCTAGGTCTTTGAAAAGGTTAAGCGGATTCTTATCATATTTTGTACATGGCGTCTTAGGAATTAGTTTAAATTTGTTGTGCAATAAAATAATACATAGCTTCAAAGTTATTTCATTAAATATAAAAACACAGAAAAACACTATTTAAAAATGTGCGCAACAATTACAGAAGCCGTACAACTAACTAATTATCTATAAGATTCAAATGACCATTTTCGACATCTGGCCTGGGTAACGCACACGTTCGAAGACGCACCGCGTTCCCGCCAATATTCTCGGTTTTTGAATTCGTTGTGGAAACATCCAGCTCTTATCTGTTACAGATCTATACTCCAGCGTGACTTAAAATTTAGTAGCGTTTCAGTAATCGGGTATAAGCTTGCAAATATAAAATTGTTCAGATTTCTAATTATGTCTTTATCCATATCAAAGTGGCCGCGGAGAACCTGACGGGTTACCGGGGCTCCGGCTCGAAGTGCAGGAGTAGGAACGGGATGGTTCAGTAAGAGTCTGACACTCCGTGCCGCCTCACTCAGGCGGGTGAAGTGATTCGATGATTTCCCCCCTTAAAAAAATCCATATCAAAGTATTTAGAGAATGTAATACGACGACTCAAAAGTTAATTCCGTTAGTTATTAAAAAATGAGTGGAATTCGTAATGTAATATATAATATAATATGATTGTATAGTTACTGGAGTGGCTGTGCCACTCGCGCACGGCCTGCGACAGCGGCGCGGCGGCGGCCTGCCAGCGCGGCCTGCTGGCGGCGCGCCACGCCGCGCCCTTCGCCACGCACCATATATGGACACGACTGTACGTTGCACTCCATCACATATATTCATACATAACCTCACACCTGTCTCCCATAGAGGTAGGCAGAGTAGAAAAGTAGGGAACGCCAATTGACGCGATTCCTACCTAAATCTTCCACTTCATCAAAAATCATAAGTCTTTCTATATTTAGTTATTAATTCCGAACAAACTATTTTCCGATTTCGCATAAACGACAAATAAGGTTGTAGGTATATAAAATTCTTCCAATAATATGACCAGATTGGCGAAATATTAAAGAAGGGCCAAATTAAACGTACCCTGAACCGACGAGCATGCATGAAAAGATTAATGACTGTTGATGGAGCGAAAGAAGTATGTAGGAACCGTAGTAATTGGCGTTCCCTAGTCTCTGCCTACCCCCATGGGAAACAGGCGTGAAGTTATGTATATGTATGTAATTTTTATATAAACTGTTTTGTTTCAGGGAAAGTCACTTCGGCCGAGACATTATTATAGACGAATAAACATCAAACATTATGTGTGTATATAATACGCACCATTTTACATAAACGACTGAATAACATAATTATAAACATTTATGTTGACGAAGTATAATATGATTATAATCTAGTCAAATAAACCTGAATCCTTAAGTGTATGACTGTATGTATATGTAAAACTTCTTTATCTTGAACCAGTTAGCCCTAATCATTAAGAACCATGCTGTGAATGGGCCGGCACGACGACGGGAGTGATACCACGAACACGGGCTTACAAAAAAAAAACAACGTGTAACAACGCTACGCTTACCAAGGCAGCTATATAACTTGACATGTCCTCTGTCCCCTAGACGGGATAGAAGACGTCTATAGAGGTTCTTCATACTGGTCTTGAACTTCCTGCTTTACTTCGCCTCATGTCATTCCGATGCCCGTCGCTCCTGCCATCACAGTACGCCGCCAGGTTTGCCAAAGATTGCTACGCTTCGGGATTCCACTCCAATGCTTGGTCAGGGATGCAGTCGCGATTTCTTCGAAGCCTCTCGTTCTTCATTCAATATGGAATTATGTAGTGACACACCTTTGGACGGAGTTTATGGAGTTTCTTGCCCGTTCTTCTCTACTCGAGTGTGTGCGTTACCCACACTAAATGTTGTCAAAAAAACTAATTATCTATAAGATTTAAATGACCAATTTAAATCTTATAGATAATTAGTTGTGCGGCTTCTGTAATTGTTGCGCACATTTTTAAATTTGTTGCGCTTATAGTTTTTTAATTATTTAAAAAATCATGTTCTACGGGGGTAACGTTATCCCAACCACACCTATTTCTTTATTACGGGGTACGTTTTTGTACCGGGTAACGTTTACGTACGTACGGGGTAACGTTTATAACTTCGCAAACGAAGGTTTTTTTTGTGTGTATAATACATGCATATTGCACCCGTGCGAAGCCGGGGCGGGTCGCTAGTTAAACATAAATAAAACGTAATAAGACCTTCAAACCTAAATAAAGGTTCTGTGTAAAACTACTTACGTCATACATTTTAGAATTTGGTTTAAATTATTGTATTTTTCTTTTTATAAATGTTAACTGTGAACCTGCGTAACTTGTATTGTATTAATATAAGATTTGTTTGTAATAATAATGTTTGAAGCAAAGGTATTGTGTTTTATTTGAATTGGATCCGCGGGTTCTCATAGGTAGTTTGTTATCATGTTGTGTCATATTAATGTTAATTATAAATTTTTATATTAAGTCACAACATTATCGCATTGGGTGTAACCTGTCAGGATGTGTTGATTTTAATAAATAAAATAAATATTTAAAATTATCCCTAAAATCATAATGTTTATTTATTCTTGTCTCTGTATAAAAGAAACCTAAAAGAACAGTAAAGTAGGTAATACATTGTTTTTATATTAAAACTTTCGTGAGACATATCAAATTAATTATTTTGTTTTTCGGCTTACACACGTAACTGTTAGACGAGAGGCACACGACTAGTTTCAAGCCATTAAAACTTGAAAACTACGGAAAATCGTAGAATGGGGTGATTTGGATACTCCACATCATATAGTATCTAAATTTTACGCTTGAACGTCAACTGTCCGGCCTCCTCAATGATATTGTACCTACCTAGGTTGTATGAGGGACTGTTCTTCTCCATAGAAGGCTTTAGCCCAGACACAGTACAAATCTGGGCAGAATTCTCATAATTAACTAATGCGTTGTGCGACGATATAGGTACAAAGTTAATAATATAGGTATTGAAACTTAATATGTTACAGATGAAGTAACAATTATTATGTTGATAATAATGATGTTTTGTCTCCAAAGTATCTACGTTTTACCACCACGCGAGTAGTGGTCAAACGTCGGTTCATCAAATAAATAAAAAAAATATGCGGCATATTATGTCAAAATCTATAATCAAATATATTCTATGCAATTAAGGGTTAATTGAACCGTGCGTGGTAGAGGCCCATTATTCTTTTAATGTTTTTCCTATCACTACCTCATCTCCATAAAGTAATTTCAAGGCGACGCGACGCCTGCACAGACTTATACGGCCCGGGTCAAAGTTAATAAACTAAAAGAAATTTATCAAGCCTATGTACAATGATAAATATCTGTGCGTTGGGTTTCCCAGATAGCAGTGTACTAGTGTGTTTGGACACATACATACGGTGATACTCAATTTTATTTATCTATACTTTATTGAACTTTATTTATACTTAGTTTTTTCGTAGCAGTGTCCACAAGCATTTTGTGGGCACAAACAATCTTGCAATACTTTATTTTGCTCTAGTTGTGCCTTTTTTCCTTTAGGCTGCTACAAAAATGGCTTCACTGCTTCGTAAATTGTCTTACAACAGTTACACCCAATGTCGGTCGTTGCATAAAATAGCAGTGGGCCACACAGTGCCTCTGACGTTCAACCAGTATGAACATCAGCAGAGGTTCCGTGAAGCTCAGGCTGAGATCGTTGGCTCGTTAATGTCCAGCCCTAAGTTCAAAGACCAGCTGGGCGATGTTGAAGTCTGGATGACTAAAGTAAGTGTTGATTAGTCATACTTCAAACTGTTTTTTCGTCTTTTATAAAGTTCTTTGTAAAATGCTAGACATGCGCTTGACTGGATTTTGGTGTTACATACATAATTAAACCAACAAAACTTGTAACTAAAAATATGAACCTGATTGAAAAAGAGTAACCTATGGAGTTTCTTGCTAGTTGTTCTCCAAAGGAATCTACACCTTGTAATGGGCTTCACTTAAATTTTTATTGACATTAAAAGTGCTTTCCTGGTCTAATTGAAATAAATTATTTTGACTATAAATTTGCTCATTGAAGGCATTTAGGCGTTTAGGTGCAAACAAACGCGGATGACTACGCGAGGTCGCAAGTTTGATGTCGTGTAAAATTTTACGGAGGATTACGTTGTCTAACGACTATGTTGCAATCAAAAGTACTTGTAACGGGTTCGATCCGCGTCATTTGATACCATCAAACCACTCAATTTTAAGTTGAATAAATTCTGAAGAGGATAGGTAATAGGTATAATTTTACCTAAGTAAGTTCAATTATTATTAAAAAAACTATTTTGTTGCAGTTGTTAGATTATGCTCTGGGCGGAGGGAAAAGGGGCAGAGGTCTGGCGGTGCCCTTTGCGTACCGAATGATGGAGGATCCAGAGCACTTCACAGAGGACAATCATCATAAAGCACGGATCATGGGATGGGTTCTGGAAATGGTAAGTACCTGAAGTTATACGTAACAGTTTGAGGAAATAACTCATCTAAATTCTTTTATCTGACTGTTTTGACCGATGGTTGAGCGAGAGTTTAATGGTTCATATCTCTTTTCTCGTGAAGATATGTTTAACTTTATTATCCCACAGAACACGGGCGGAGCCGCTGGCAGAAGCTTGTAGTTCTATAATATCGACCTTAATGTTACGTGTGTGTACTCTCATTTCTACTTTATGTCATTTTACTAATATAGCATTTTAAACCGGCAGTTCCACTCCTATCTATTCACAATAGATGACATAATGGATGCCTCGAAGACTCGCCGCGGCCAGCAGTGTTGGTACCTACGTGACGATGTCGGTATGGGCGCGCTGAACGACAGCGGACTTATATTCAGCAGCGCATACGAAGTCTTGGAGCAACACTTCGGAGATGATCCTATTTATGCAGAACTTGTTAGAATTTGCAATGGGGTATGTTGTTTACTGTCTGTTTATTTTACTTTTATGTGTTATTATATTTATTGATTTTTATTTTCGACGTTACTACAGAGCAATAAAGTCGATCATCGATTGTTAAAGTTTACGTAGAAGTAGGTTAATATGTAGATGATCGTATCGCTCCATAGAGGGTTAAATTCTATTGCGCAAAATAACACTAGGACCAGGTGGTCCAGGCTAGGTAGCCTTTCCGGAGGACACGGTGGAGCATACAGTGGCGGTGTGCCCTGCGTGGGCTGAACACCACCGTGTAAAGAGAAGGCTGAGCGTGTGAGGGAACGAATCTCCTCACGCCCCAGCCGTCGCGAGAGACGTCTGAGCTTCGGGGATCGCGAGACAATCTCCGGCCACAATGAGACCCGAGCGAGCGGCGAGTCGCGTTCTGCGCGCGCCTCAAAGAGTCATCAGATCACCACGGATGGGGCCTAATAGGGCTTAATGAGTTGCCGGGGCTCCGGCTCGAAGTGCGAGAGTAGGAATAGTGTGGTTTTTAGTCAGTAAGAGTGACACTCCCTCTTGCTTCAACCGGGCGGGAGAAGTCAATGGATGATTTTCCACCGCCAAAAAGAAATACCTCCTAGCCTTAAAATAACACAAAAACCATTAACTTTCAATCTCTCTTTCCGCAGGCAATGATGCACACATGCATAGGTCAGCACCTGGACTTCGCATCAAACTACAGGCGGGAGAAGAACAACCTGGACACGTTCACAGTGGAACGGTTTGACGCCATCGCCTTACAGAAGACCGCAATCTACTCCTTCAAATTTCCTATGAATTTAGCTATGACTTTAGTTAAGGGCAAGAATCAGAATTTGCACCATACAGAAGACGTACATTCCATCTGCTGGGACATGGGCAAACTTCTGCAATTAATTGTAAGTACAAATTGATTACATACATACATTACCTCACGCCTATTTTACATGCGCCATCACCATCCACCATCACTCTGCCTGCCGGCATGGACTATGGAGACTCAAACTCAAATTCTTAATTCATATTAACACTAATTGGTAATCAAAACCAGCAAATTAATTCTTCATTATTATAAAAGGACTTATAATAATTATTTTATATAAACTTGTTTTAAGTTGGTTAATGTATATACTAAACCTGCTAAAACCTTCTCTTAAGTATAACAAACACTTTTGTGGAAACCACATCAAAATTGGTTATGCCGATCGCGAGATAATCGCGCACAAACATACATACTTACATGAGAACCTCCTTTTTTGAAGTCGGTTAATAAGAAGGTGCTCAGTTTGACCTATAACTTTGTATGCGGTTTCGAAAAGAGTTAGATATCAACCGACTTAAAAAAAAGAGGTTGAAGTACGTTTTTTAATATCACCCTATTATTTGAAATCGAACCCGAAAGTGCTTGCTCGGTGGTCGTACTTGCACCATTTGGCCAATGAGACCCACTGTTAACTGTGAAGTCTTTTGTATAACAACTGGAAATACATCTTCTATGTCTAATTGCATCCAAATACGTTAAGCCGTTTTGGTATATTTGACTGACATAAGACAGACACCAGCACTTGTAAACTTTCCTATGCATAAGGGTAATGATTCTGTTTGTTCATAGTGAAAGTTATTCATTGCTTAGATTCCTATAATGGCCCTTGACCTATTAACTGACCTTTGCATAAGCTGCTTAGGAAGTAAGTAGGAAGAAAGTAAGTTATTAAGAAATAATGGCAGCTAAACCTAGTAACTAAATTTTCGACTTTATTACAAAACGATCAGAAGACAGAATATCTAAATTGACAAGGTCCGACACGGATAATATTACTCGTAAATTTTTAATGGATTTTCAATCTTATCTATTTGTAATAAAGTTCCAGATTATTGAGCTGTTTCATTTTCAAAACTTAAACCGAGTAAAAGACAGTCAATTTCTCTATTTGAATTTCAACTTTTTTGTTTTCATATAAAGTCTAAAATCTGAAAATTCATTAATAAAATTAATATGAATATACTTTTTCTGTCCCAGAACGACTACAAAGACATATACTTCGACGAAATCAAAACAGGGAAGGCCGGCACGGACATACAGGAAGGCAAGTTGACGTGGCTCGCGGTGACAGCCCTGGAGCGATGCACTGACGCACAACGAAAATTCTTCGCCGAAAACTACGGCATCGACAACCCTGAGAATGTACAACGAATCAAAGACTTATTCGCAGAGTTGGACATTGAAAATATTTATAAAAATCATGAAAAAGCTGTGTATGAAGATCTAGTGAGAAGAATCCGCGCTTTACCCACCAAAGGACAGACGCGTTTCTATTCTGAAGTTCTAGAAGCGTGTTGTAAACAGTTGTACTGATGTCTAGAACGCGCGTGGTGTAGGCAGAGTAAACATTTGTTACCGCCCCTTCTCTTCCCCCGACTTAGGAACACTTATCAGCACTCTTATAGACCTGCCGCCCGGATACTGAAAGGCTACTCAATTTTAAGTTCTATTTAAATGTATACCACCCATCTCTGTCATTTTACAAAGAATGTGTAGTAACAGAACTATACTTATCGCGACTCACTTGAGTATTTGGACATGAATTTTTTAATCCTGCGGTCTCCAGCCAGCCTGCCAAGAGATTATGGCAAGCTTCTCTTTTAGGCAGTGGACCCTCATGGTATTGACGATGTTCATACTGATTTATAGGCCTATAATTTATTTGTTTTTCTAATATACGCATTACGCATTATTATAATGCGTACGCATTACGCATTATTGCATTATTGTGTACATTTATTTAATGTGAGTGATCAATCAGTTATAAGTGACTTAAGTGGTACCTACCTGCGTAACATAATATGCATCTCATTAAATTACTACTTTTACCTACAATCGAATGTTTTTTTCATACCTATTATATGTTTTTTTAATCGAATAGGAGGCAAACGAGCATACGCCTTCACCACCTGATGGTAAGCGATCAGCGCCGCCCTTGGACATCCGCAACACCAGAGGGGTAACAGGTGCGTTGCCGGGTTTTTAAAAAGGAGGGTGTATTACTTTTTCTTGAAGGTTTGAAGATTGTGTCAGTTCGGAAATACCGCCGAAGACAGAGTGTGCGTTACCCAGGCCAGAAAATGGTTATTTAAATTTTATAAATAATTAGATCTGCGGCTTCTGTAATTGTTTCGCACATTTTTAAATATGTTGCGGTTATAGTTTTTTAATTATTAAACTGTCAAACACCAAGCGGTCACCGGTGACCGCAACCTATTGTTCTATAATTGTGTCTGCAAAACCGGTACTCGACGAGTTAAAAACAAAAACATTTCCTGCTGGGGTAACGTTACACCAGCCAGACCTTTTTCTTTCTAATGGGAATATTTAAATAATTACTATCTAAAATTAGTTGTCTAGATGAAGTAAATGTTGTGCGTTATTTTGTATTTGTTCTTTTATCGTTTGTTTGTTTCAGTTATTCGAGATTTTGCTGGGGTAACGTTTTAGGTATTGATAGATCTTTGAAATGGTTAAGCGGATTGTACATGGCTTCCTAGGAATTAGTTTAAATTTGTTCTATCATTTATTTATTTAATAATAACGTAGTTTTTTTTAAACTTATGTATATACATGTCTGTACTAAATTTGTAACACTATCCTACATATTTTAGAATTTCCATAGTGTTAAAAAATAACGCACAACATTTACTTCATCTAGACAACAAATTTTATAGCTAGTAATTATTTAAATATTCCCATTAGAAAGAAAAAGGTCTGGCTGGGGTAACGTTACCCCGGCAGGAAATGTTTTTTTTTTTAGTAATTAAAAAACTAAGCGCAACAACTCTAAAAATGTGCGCAACAATTACAGAACCCACAAAACGAATCCTTTCTAATATTATAAATTGGAAATTGAGTTTGTTTGTTTGTTTGTTCCGCTTTCACGCCGTAACTATTAAACCGATTGCTTTGAATTTTTGTAGACATAAAGTTAGAAGTCTGGATTAAATAATACTTTTTATCCCGGAAAAATGTGATATTCCCGAGGGAAAACAAAAGTATTGAAGATGGCCCTGTGTGTATTGGTATATGTCACATAGGCTACTTTTTATCCTTTTGTGACGCGAGCGAAGCCGCGGGTAAAAGCTAGTTATTCATAGTATTCCAATGACCATTTACGACAACATCTGGCCTGGGTAACGCACACGAAGACAGATCATTCCACAGTTTTGCTGTACCAGGCAGAAAGCTACGAGAGAAGTGCACAGTAGTGGCCTGCCAACCTTCTATATGATGGGCATGGATAATATGGATATCCAGTCGTAAAAACGCGGCAGGTATCAGACCAAACAATTCCTTATAGCAGTCCCCGTGGTATAAGCGATAGCAATCACTATCGTTTACATATATTTATTACATTTTATGTACATCACTAGCTGTTGCCGGTGACTTCATCCCCGTAGAATAATGACTTCTGGCAAACGTTGGGGCTTTTTAATTAGTTTTTCCAACGGATATTATTTGGTAAAAAATGTCGTCAGAATCGATTCAGTACCTAGGTTTATTGCGAAATGAATCTATGGGTTTAACCCTCCTTTCTCGTGCTGCAAATCATTGTTGTACCAATTATCAACCCCCACTTCCCTAAAATGAGGGGATGGAAGTTTGTATCTAGCATTGGTATGCGGATAATTTGTGACCAGCATAAAATCGTGCACGATATCTCTTTTTTTTTGTAAACCTGCCCCCAACCTCTTAAAAGAGCACGAGCGAAGCCTTTATTGATTAACTTGAATGCGTATTTTGTAACTTGTAAGTATTCAAATCGTAGTTTTTTAGAGTAAAGCTGGATCATCATCATCACCATCATCAACACCCTATAAATGCCTACTGCTGAGCAAAGTCTCTTCTCACATGGAGAAGGTTTGTGCTATAATCACCACGCTTGCTTAATGCGGGTTGGTGATTACAACTTATAATTAGAAATTATAAGTTCAGGTTTCCTCACGATGTTTTCCTTCACCGTTTATCAGTGGTGTCTACATAATCTTAGAAAGTACATAATTATAGTAAACTCGGAAAAGTCACATTGGTACTTGCCGTTGGTAAATTTCGGACGCACTATCATGCATGAGAAGCGGGCGTCTTAAACCTCTGGGCCGCCATGACATAAAGCTAGATAATAGAATGGTTTTTTCATACCCTTAATTTAGGCGTCAAAGTACTCGTCTGCCGGGGATCTACATATCTATCGCCGGGGAAAGTTCCCAGAAGACTGGCAGCATTGCCACTAAGGTAAGAGCTTTTTTTTAAGGGGAGAAAATCATCGAATGTCTGCTCCCGCCTGGGTGAGGCGTGAGTGAGTGTCAGACTCTTACTGACTAAAAAACACCCCGTTTCTTCTCCTGCACGTCGAGCCGGAGCCCCGGTTACCCGTTAGGTTCTCCGCGACTCCGAATCGGTATCGGCTCTGTTGGGCCCCATCTGTGGTGGTCTGATGGCTCTTTGAGACGCGCGCGGAACGCGACGCGCCGTACGCTCGGGTCTGTTTCTGGTTGGCAGTCTCTCTTTCCGCAGGCAATGATGCACACATGCATAGGTTAGCACCTGGACTTCGCATCAAACTATAGACGGGAGAAGAACAACCTGGACACGTTCACAGTGGAACGGTTTGACGCCATCGCCTTACAGAGGGCCGCAATCTACTCCTTCAAATTGCCTATGCATTTAGCTATGACTTTAGTTAAGGGAAAGAATCAGAATTTGCACCATACAGAAGAAGTACATTCCATCTGCTGGGACATGGGCAAACTTGTACAATTAATTGTAAGTACAAATTGATTACATACATATGTCGCAGGCGAATTGTAGAGGTACAATCCGCCGTATTACATTACGATTAGCAGTTTATCAATCCAGGGACGTTTTGTAATGCAACCACTGAACGATTAGCCGGATTGAATACGGCTAAATCAAAATCACTCAGATAGTTTTTGGAGCTCTGCGTTATTGAATATAGCTACCCGTAATGTAAAAGAGTGATCATTATACCCAATTTATAGTTACAAAATTTAACACGCGTGGCGCTGCTTGGCGTAAGAATATTGTTTTCTTATTGGATGCTGTTCTCGAGGTTTTCAATGGTAATAAACTGATAGTGCTGTCAAAATGTAAATCCAACATGGCGGCTAAACAGTTTTATTTACGTTTTCATCGTGCGTATCATTTTCGGACCATGCCGACGCGTGTTCGTTATGAAACCGCTAGCGACGAAAAATGGATGATGAATCTGTTGAAACAATGGCCGCCTTCTAACAGTGTAGCGGCAATGCCGGATGACGCGACAGCAAATGCAATTTTTCAAACTTTTGTTAAAAGCAAGTTTTTCCTGTACACCTCTTGGAGCATCATGAAAAAATATTTTTCCATCGTTGTTATTTATTTATTGATAAGTACTAGTAATGTAGTAAATATATTTTTCTGATCAATGTTCAATCGAAGCTCATCTTGAGCTATTTTCTGTAAAAGTTTCGATTGATTGTATGATGTTTCTCTTGTGTATTCGGTACCGCCGCTGCGCCGGCGCCGCAACAACTACGTCCCTGCATTTTAAATTTGTAAAATCTACGGAAAAAATCACTTTTTACATGCTGCAAAAATCAAATTAATCTATAATAAATGCACAATTTATTTAAGATACTTAATTAGATAACGTATTTAATAACAAATTTTTAGTAAAGGATAAAATATTGTTATGGTGGGTTATGCCTGTTGAACTTTTTAAGTTGGACAATGCTGTAGTATAGTATTACATTGTTTTGATATAGGGCCAGCGTTTGCAACATAAGCGCAAAAACACGTGCTTATTTACGACATTACATTAAAATCCTCTAAATTTATCAGTGTTTCTCTACTATATTGTGCACGTATTATACATAAAACCCTTCCTTTAGAATCACTGTATCTATTAAAAAACCGCAACAAAATCCGTTGCGTAGTTTTAAAGATCAAATCTAAGCATAGTTTTAAAGATCAGGGACAGACAGACGGCGGATAGCGACTTTGTTATAGGTATTTTTTTTTAAGGGGGGAAAATCATCGAATGGCTGCTCCCGCCTGGGTGAGCCGGGAGGGAGTGTCAGACTCTTACTGACTAGAAACCACCCTGTTCCTTCTCCTGCACGTCGAGCCGGAGCCCCGATTACCCGTTAGGTTCCCCGCGATATACATACTATGTAGTGATGTATGAATGCTATTTTTATGTGATCAAATAATTACTAGAAAATGAGTTTATTTTAATTTTCAACATTTTACAACTTATAAAAATCCGATTTTGATTTCCAATACGTACAATAATTTAATTGATTAGAAATTACGCCCTGATGACTGCCACTAAAAACTGACCGCACGGTTAACGCGGTGACTAAGCAATCGGCTGCCGCGCAACGTGTAGCAGGTTCGATTCCCGCACGGAGCAACTCTTTGTGTCATCTACAAATTGTTGTTTCGGGTCTAGGTATCATGTGTATGTGATCATTGTACGAGTACAATGATAGTTCGAAACCAAGCATGGGAAAGCCATGCTTCGGCACGGATGGGCCGGCTCGACGGGAGTGATACCACGGCCTCACAGGAAAACAACATAAAACAACACTTCCGTTGTGTTTCGTCATGTGAGTGAGGTTATCGGAGGCCCAATTACTCCCCTCCCCAATCTCCGAATCCCCAACAATCCGCAAAATCCTAATCCCGAAAATGCTGGTAACGCACTTCTAACACCTCTGGTGTTTCACGTGTCCATGGGCGGCGGCGATCGCTTACCATCAGGTGATCCGTCTGCTCGTTTATGTTTACCAGCTTCTTCTACAAATAAAAAAGTAATTTCA